TTGTTACCCAGCCCTACTCTCTATCCTTTCCTCCTCTTCCTCTCCTCTTTTGGACACAGAAAGTGAAAGAAATATGGGAACCGTTTGGATCCCAAAAGGTTTGGCCTTGGTCAGGATGAGATGGTGCATGGGAGAGAAAAAGTGTATCCATTAGAACCCATCTTGCCTGCTCCTGATATATAATCCTAGAATCCTAGAGCTGGAAGAGACCCCCACAGACCCTCCAGTCCAACCCCCTGCCATGCAGGAAGGCACAATCAAAGCATTCCCAATAGACAGTAAAGCCTCCAGAAGAGGAGATTCCACCACACTCTGAAGCAGCCTATGCCATTCCCCAGGAAGTTCTTCCTAATCTTTTCAGCTGAATCTCATTCCCTGCCATTTGAACCCATTGCTTCCTTGTGCCCTGGTCTCTAGAGCAGCAGAAAGTCCATTTTCCCCTCCCTCTTCCTCCTCAATGGGACACGCTTTTAAATCTAGAAACATGATTCTCGTGTTCCCTCTCTACCTTCTCTTCTCCCAGATAAACATCCTCCAGGAGGAAAGGAAAAAGAGAAGGAAGGGAAGGGAAGGATGGCGGGAGGGGAGGGAGGAATGAAGGAACAAAGGAAGGGTGGAGGGGAATGGAGGGAGGGCGGAAAGAAAGAAGGAAGGAAAGAGGGGGGAAAGGAAAGAAGGAAGGGCAGAAGGAAGAACAAAAGTGTGGAAGGGAAGGAGGGAGGGAGAGAGGGAGGTAAGGAAAGAAGGGAGTGAGGGAAGTAGGTTAGAAAAGAGAGAAGGATGGTAGAATAAGATGGTGAGAGAGAGAGAGGAGGGCCACTCTGGCCCCGGGCCTGGGTTTCCCCATACCTGATGTAGACATGACAATGTGAAAAACCCACATCTCAATCAGTATGGAAGTGTTTAATGGCTATTTAATCAAAGTGGAAAGGAAATAAACCACTTGGGGTGGATGACCAACATCCGGGTTAATCAAGAGTAGTGGTGTTTGGGAGGGAGATTAAATTAATAAAGTCTCCCACAGGAACTACGAGGACATCTAGAATGTCTCCACATTTGACATCATAGTGGTGGCATAGGAGAAGGTCCTCACATTGATGGCAGAGGTGCAGATAAATGGAAATCCCCATAGGTACTAATTTCTGGGGGAAATAAATCATACATCACACAATGTAACATGACTTTTGTTTCTGCATTATAAATGCCATTTTCAAATTGGATTTATCATATGAACATGAAAAAAGTTTATTAAACTCCAACAGTTTTTGTGGGACATCCTGGAGCACATTTTGCTATAGTTTTTCATTGAATATCTCATTGAGTCTCAACCCAT